CATCCCACGGTCCTCCCCCATAGAAGGACGCAGAGGGAGCTGCCTTTCCTGATGCCCTCGGAGATATCTCCGGAGCTGACTCCTGGACAAGAGCTCACATGCTTGCTTTCTGGCCTGATCACAGGCAACTTCAGAGCTCTGTATGCTGGACCCATCGGGAACAGCTGTCTGCCCCTGGTAGCTGTGGTCACAGCCAGGGTACTGTGGGCTGTGTACAGGGCTGCCCTTTTGACTTGGTATTTATGTTGTGACCGAGCACATCTACTCTCCTCCCAGGCAGGAGCCTCCTCATCAGGCAGCTCTCCCATGGCCTCCTGGGGAAGGCAGGAGACACTCTTTTTCTTTCAGTGCTCAGAGCTCCACTCACCCCCACCCCTGCTCCACAAGACTCAGAAGCTTTTTGCCCAGGGCCTCCAGTCAGCGAGGTGACTACCGACCTGTGCTGACCACCTTTTCACAGAGTCACAGAGAGTGGTGTGCAGGAGCACTCTGGGGTTTAGCCTCTTGCTTGTTTTCTTGCAGAGAGGGGCCTGCTACTCCTCGCCTTCAGCCTTGTCCTAAACTGCTCCTCAGTACCCAGAGGCTCAGCTCAGCTCAGTCCTTTCGAGTCTCAGCTTCGTATGTTTCACCTCCTGACTGTCTCTGGACTGATCACGTGGTCAGGAGTAGGGATGTGCTGACTGATTGGAGCCACTTGATTACTACCCTGAATCTGGAGTTGGCTTGCAGACACCCAGAGGGTGCAAGAGAGGGGAAGACTCCTGTGGGAACATCAGGGAGCCTTCTGAGCCCTTGGATGGACACTGGGCATCTCTGGCTGAAGGCACCTGGCCCCACCTTCGCATCCCTCCACAGCCAGGCTTACAGTTAATTGTTTCTCCTTGGTGAGCCAGGGTCCCATCAGAAGAGCACAATCACAGGGATTTAAACAGGGAAAGTTCAGCAAGATTATTATCTGCAACAGAGGATTGGAGTCATGAGCGCTTAGTTACTAAGGAGAGCATCAAAGAATATCAGATCAGCAGATACAAGGAGCAGCCAGTGTCTTCAGGGTGAAGACAGATTGCCCTGAGTTTGGACCCTGCATCCTTGCTTGAGAGAAAGTGGCTATAACTCAGTAGATAACAGAGAAGTCACCGTAGAACTGTTATCCAGGATCCACCATGGGAAGACTGCTGGAAATCGTCTACCCTCTCTAGGGCCACAGAAACCTGCTCTTAGGGAAGGTCCCATCAGGGGCCGTCTACTGCAAATGAACCTGTAGGGTTTAGTGGGAGAAGCTGCAGCTGCCAGGTATTACTGGCCACCATGCGCCCTGCAAGTCTGGGGCTGCAGAAGTTGTCTACCCTGCAGGGGGTTGGGTGCTGGAGAAGCTGCAGGCTGCTCAGGAGCTGAGCTCAGAGGCCTGGAGTCTGCAGATAGGAAACTGAACCAGGGTGTGGAATGCATGGCTCTCTAGTGCCCTCTACTAACGAAGTTCAGTATTGGAAAATCACAAAAAGAACCCATATCCATTTTTTCAATGCAGGTGATAAAGGGTGAATCTGAAGATGAGAGGAAATGAATAACATAAGTGTCAAACATCTCTCTCTTAGTTCAATTAGATAATTCAATATTCTCTCAAGTGAGGTGAGATTTAATTTAGAAGGCTCCAAGATAAGCTTTCTTAATTGTAAATCTTTCTTAATTGTAAGTCATATATGTGACTCCAATCCCCTGTTGCAGCTATATATATTCATATATCTTATATGCATATATTTCATATATTTTATATACTCACATACTTTATAATTGCTCTATAGTTTATATATATTCAGATATGTCTGTGCATATATCTATATAAAGTTAATGTATAGTCTATATATCAACTATTATGTATATATCTATATGTGGAAACTATAAAGCAATCATATAAAATGTGCACATTCATAGACTGCATTAATATTTTGTCAAATAGAAAAGAGTAAAGCTAATTTAAAAGAGCTTCCTAAAAGCATTAACTAAGATTAACCCTGGTATGTGGATTTGGCCGCCACCTTGGATATAGTGCCTGAGTGGCCAAGGATTGGGAATCTCCTACATAATTATATAGGAGGAAATGTGACAACTGTGTGGAGGATGGCATTTTCATATTGTCTTAATTACACTCCTTATATAGAGATAAAGAAAAATAAATGAGCAAGGCCACCGAGGTCTCAGTGCCTGGCAGCAGTCTGGGGATTGAGGGGTAATCTCAGGGTTGGGACTGAGAAAGTCTATGAAGTTGCAGAACGTTTGCCTTTCCTGGCTGTGTTTCCTTGGGTGCCTTTTGGAACTGTGACATGCTTTCTGCTGGGCAAATGAAGTGGTCTGTGGTGACCCTTGGAATCTGTGTGCATAAAGTCCAGGCTGAGGACCAGCCCCTGGCTTCCCAGGCACACACTGCCCTGTGTGCTCTTAGGCCTCTTCTGATCTTCAAGTGTCCAGCCCACCTGCCGGCCTGGCACTTAGTTGGGCAACTGGTTACTCTGTGGCAGCAATGTTAGTGTCAGGGAGCACTGGGTATAGCGTCTGTGTGTTGAAAATGATTGTTCTGATTTTCTCTTATACTTCTCTGTCAGAAAGAGAATAATCAATATCTAATTCCATTGTAAATGACACAGGGAGCTTTCTACAGGCTGTGGACTGGTTGAAGTAGACCTGCAGGGGTGGAGTGTTGGTGACAGTGGTTTAGGACACAGCAATGTGTGTCAGGACATCCATCTGAGGGCCTTCATGATGCACTGCTGTGTTCCTCAGGCTCTGTTTGATCATCTGGAAGACAGAAATCCTTGAGTCAACAGCCTCCTCTCAGTGACCAAAGAATCAGCCAGGGAATGTGCCACAAAGCTTTAAATTACAGTTCCTCAAGGGTAGCCCAGGTGCCTCAAGATTTATAGTCCAGTTTCTGGTTGTAGAGAACAAACATTTTAAAAATTGTATGAACACTTATAAATTTGTTGAAGGTGCACTGGAAAATGATGTAAGAATGACAAAAAGCCAGTGAGAGCAGGGATTGTTGTTTGAGTGATAGCTGCATGGTCAGCCATGCCTGGGAATAGAAAGATTTAGCAAGGGAACATTGCCTGGGGGCTAGAAAAATGGAGAGGTCAGATCAGACAAATCACCAAGACCGTTTCTGAGTTTCTGATTTTAAAGTGCCTTGCTAGGCTGTGTTCTTTTTAGTGACTCCTAGAAAATCTCAAGTCATTTTTGAAACGTGGACATGACAGAAACAGTGAAAGTTTCACAGGAGTAACTGATGCTTGGGGAAATGTGACCCAAGAGATACTGCTGATTTAATTTCTGTGTAGTAGAAGGCAAGGGCTCTGTTAACCTGACTTTCATTCATCCAACACAAGATCTGCTCCTGGCCCATTCTGGGGTAGGCACTGATGGGTAAGGCATAATCTGTGACCTGGAACGGCTCCTATGGTGTCAGGGGAGTCAACACAGTTTGAAAATCTTTCCCATTAATGTGGGTACAAAGTCTAAAGGATCATAAAAGATTTGAGGCCTGAGATTCAGGAAAAAACACAGAAGAGGTCATGTTGGAGATGGATGTTGGATTTAGTGAGAGTTAACTAGCCAGAAGACAGCAAGGATGGCAGGTCGGGGAGTGGGACTTGTGGAGAGATTGGAGATGCAAGAACATGATGTGCAAGAGGTGCCTCCTTGCAGATTTACTCAGGGAAGGGGGTCTTATAAAGGGCCTACTGGAGAAAAGGAGGTGGCCGTGAATGAGGCTGTAAGTATGAGGAGGGTCTGCAGAAACTTTGACATGTATACTGGAATATGGACTCCAGATGGTAGAGATGAGAAACACGCATTACCACCCAGCTGCATGTGACCATGGCAGACATCACTAGCCGATCCCAGGACTTCTTTCTGCTCAAGCCTCTTTCTTCTCGACTCTCTCTTGCTGCCTAGTTGGACTGCTAAGAAATAGTCATTGAGGCAACATTTCCTACTTCTAGCAGAGTCGGGGGAACTGGAAGAGGTTTTAGTGAGGATCAGAACATGATGCTAATGAGGCCAAGATCTGTTTCACAATGCTCTTTACATTTAAACAAAATATAGCCACTTTTGTCTTTCCAGAGAGACCAGAATCATGTGATCAGGGTGCCTCAGGCTGGAGGTGAAAGGTTAATAAAATAGGTATTTGTTACTTTGTTTTTTTATATGTTTAACAAAACACTGTTGAAATCTTGTTCCCAGACATCTGTTGACCATTTTATGAAAATATAAATAATGTTTAAGTATATAGAATTATACTGTTGTAGGGATGGATAAGGCAAGGCACCTAAGATAGCACTGAAGACAGGGAAACAGTTCTATTTGGCTGCAACCGGATTCAGAGGGCATTGTTTCCGCTGTAATCAATTAATCCCCTGAACCCCAGGTTTAGGCAGCTTTAGAACTCCATACTCAGCATGTAAGGGAAAGGGCTCAGAAGTTTACAGTCTGCAGAAGTTTACAAAAAGCAGTTTTTGTTTTTGTTATTTTTTTTTCTCTGTTCTGGGCAAGTTAACTTTTTAAGGACACCTGGGAGGGGGAGAATTTTTTTTTTTTTGTCAGCTATTACCATGGAGCCCAGTTGATAACTTTTTTATCTTAGAAATGTAGCCATCTCTGTGAAGCCTCAGCTCAAGGCCAGAGGCCCTGTTCACATATTTTGTGAAAAACTAGTAAGGGGGTGTCTAGCTTAGGAGTGCTGATTTTTTTAGCCAGTGGCCAAGTAGAACAGGGCAACATGAAAAGAGGAAGTTTATCTATACTGAACTTTTTTATAGGGACTTTTTTGTTGAAAGTCCTAAAGTCAGTCATAGTGAAGACTTCTGGAGAAGGTCAGTTAAGACTTTTCTGTGGGCCTGGTACAGAGGGGGAGGACAGGGAAGGCGGTGCTGAGAGCAGCTCCGTGGATCTGAGAATGAGGAAGGAGAGATGTAGAAGAATAATGGGAAAGGGGTTTGGGATTTTATTAGCAATAAAAACTTGAGTAGTAGAACAGGTAGAGCAGAGGGGAAGACTGGAGTGAGTATCCCAAAAAGCCTGTGAGGGACTTTAAATTTTTAGTAACCTGTTTTTAGTAATGATAAAGTAACTTTAAAGGCCATTTTTATTATATTTTGGATAGTTCTGGTGGGTCCTGGTGTGGGCACTGAGAGGAGAGGAGTGAATGGGTGGAGAGATACCTCAGTACCTGTTACTTCAGCAAGGGGGCAATGGTCTGAGAACTGGCGGAGGTTTGGGTTCCATCAGGTAGCCCCTGTATGTTTACATCCTTATGACTTACAGAAGAAGTCGGATTTTCCCCCACACAGCCATGACTGTTTGTGGCTTTGATAGTCTGCCAAGCAAACATAGTAATCTAGATTAGCCAACCTGCATCTGGCTCTCGTGTCCCTACATCCATAATGTTTGTTTTTATTATCTATGGTATGGAAGGGATTTAATGGAATTTTAGTGGGATTTTTTTTATCAGGGATACCCAGTAGAAAAGACCTATAGCCAACTGACAAATGTTTGGGTGGAGAGATGGCCATCAGGTCCCTAAGGGGGCTGTATGTGAGATAGATCATACTTTCTGTCCAGTAGGATTTATGATCAACCATCGCTGCTGAATGGGCTGATGAGGATTAGGACTACTGGTGGTAAGGGGGAGAGTCCTTAGCCCTATCCACATGGCGAATATGTAATTTGTGCAGGCTTGAGATGAGAGGCATGGATCCAGGAAGTGATTCCATCTACCTTTACTGCTGTAGGTGTTATAAGTAGCACCTGGTATGGTCTTTTCCAGCAGGGTTCTAGGGATGACACCTGATGTCGTCTTACATAGATGAAGTTTCCCACTTGATATCGGTGTGGAGTCCCTTCGTCCCCAGGTTGGTAGGCAGTGGTTAGCTGTTTCCACGGGTATCACTGAGTTTTTTTAAAAGCTTTAAGTCTGTCAAGCAAGAGGGTGTGAAAGGAATTGTTAGGTCTTAGAGTTAGGGTCAGGTCCCTTATTGGAGGAGGGACATCATAGAGAATCATAGAGGGTTAGGTTACACAAAGAAACAGAGGGAGTATTTTTTGCACGAAACAATGTATAAGGCAGGAGCATAGTCAAATTTTTTATGCCGGTCTCTAAGCTTAATTTTGTCAAGGTCTCTTTAATGGTTTTATTTATTTTTTTTATCTGTCCTGAGCTCTGGGGTCTATAAGCGCAATGTAACTTTCAATTAATCCCCAGGGTCCTGGCTAACCCCTGACTTACCTGGGCCATGAACGCCCGTCCATTATCGGACCCTATTACCTTAGGCAGGCCATATCTTGGAAAAATATTTAAATAGGGGGGCATACAACCCGGTTTCGCCGGGAACCTATATCCCTCACTTTAGCCATCTTATTAGGAATGGGAATTGCTGCAGGGGTGGCCACAGGGACCACTGCCCTGGTCCATGGGACACGACAAATGACCCAATTAAAAACAGCAATGGACCAAAACTTAAAGATATTAAAAACCTCTATCACAGCTTTGCAGGAATCTTTAACCTCTCTCTCTAAAGTTGTTTTACAGAACAGGCGAGGGTTGGACCTCCTCTTCATAAAAAAAAAAGGGCCTTTGTGCTACATTAAAAAAAATGTTATTTTTATGCCAACCATACTAAAGTTATAAAAAAATCTATAAGTAAACTAAAAAACGCCTTAAAAAGCGTCAGAGAAAAAAAGAGGCCCAAAAAGGGTGGTATGAGTCTTGGTTCACACAGTCCCCCTGGTTAACTACACTTTTATCAGCCCTGGCCGGCCCTCTAATAATTCTTATATTGTTGCTAACTCTAGGACCCTGTTTGCTCAATCGTGTAGTTTCCTTTCTCCAATCCCAAATTGGACAAGTCAAACTTATGGTAATCAGACAACAATATACCCCACTAGCAGACACAAAATGTGACACCCCGCAATGATCACTTTTATAATTAAAAGTAGCCAAAAAAAATAATAAAAGGTTAATAAAATAGGTACTTGTCACTCTGTTTTTCTATATGCTTAACAAAACACTGTTGAAATCTTGTTCCCAGGATGTGTTGTCCCCAACTGTGAACTCTTTGCTAATCTTGTTCCCAGAATGTGCTGTCCCCAACTGCCAAACTGCAGGATGCACTCCCTCACTCGGTTGCAGACAAACTGCCCACTCACCCTGACCCATCAATAAACTTCCCTCCATGCCCTCTCCAAAAAAATATATAAGCTCTGCTCAAGCGGTTCTCAGGGCTCTCTCTCTCTTTGCTATACAGGGAGCCCTAGCATGCTGGTCTCCAAATAAACCCACCCTTCTGCTGTTACATAAGAGAGTCTCTTGTGGTCTCTACTCCGATGTTTCGCTGTACCCTTACATTGGTTAAAAAGTGTTGGCTCTTAGGGCCTAATAAAGCTCTTAGACATGCTTTGTTTGCCTTTAAAATACTTAATTATTTACCCACATTAAAAGAAAAAAAAACTAAGAGATTCTACATAAGCTTCTTGACAAATCTGGAAACTTCTAAACACTGTGTCGACATTCCCATTGGCAACAGTCAAGCCCACCTGACCAGTGGCTGCTTGTCTGGCTGGGGAACGTTCACTCGGGTTGGCCACAGCTGATGGTATTCCTGACACAGTCCCTCCTTGGTGTCCCTGGGGATAGATCTTGGGAACCCATCTGGAACCAGAGCTCTCAGTGATCAAGCCTGGAATGCAAAAGACTACATTTTCATAGACCTTAGGCACTTCCTCTGAAACTTGAGATCCTCTCTACAGGTCCTGCGACACCGAGCACAGCGTCTGGGCTATGTGTATTCTGTTAGACTGCACTGTCCAGGGAATCACAGCAGGGAAAGGGGCTCCAACATGTTCCGGACACTCTTGGTATTTTCTCCAAATATTGTTGGGTGAGGTTGGTGGCTGGGTGGCCTGTGGACATGGAGGGATGATTGTGTATATGCCATAGCTACTTCAGTCATCCACCATACCTGCCTCCACCTGCAGAATTTCATACATTTAATTTTAAAACTTTGACTCCTGCTCCTTGATTCTGAAAGTAGTTCATGAAATATTCCTAGAAAGTTGTTATGGAAAAAAAATCACATAAAATGGCATTACATAGACTAGATTGTGTTATGGATATATTGGATAAAATTACGATAATTTTTTTCTTATGAAAATCTAGGTTTTTCCATATGGGAACATTTTGAATTAAGGGATGCTTAAGTTTCCTCCTGGGAGGATGACTCCTTGGGCCATGCAGAATGAAAATTTTGAGTCTGAATTCTACTGCAGTCTTTCTCAAGTCCAAAGATGTTCAACATAACATCTTTCAACAAGGCTTTCCATGTCCTTATACATGGAGTCAGAAGAGTTCCAGTGCTGATTCCAATCCTCGTGGTGAGCTGAAACTACAGTGTTTTGAACTGGGAATTCAGGAGCTCAAGCAGACAGAGACACGTGGTAGAGAATAAGAATCAGAGCCCTCTTGGAACAGAGCAAGCTGAGAGTGTCTCTTGGGGCTGTAGAAGGGAAAACCAGCAGAAATCGAGGGGAAACAGTGCAGAACCTCGTGGCACATTGTATTTCAGCGTTTGCATGAGCACCCACCTACCTTTTCCACCCGCAGCGAGTGCTGGCTCTAGTCTCACCCTGGCCTCCAGTGAGCTCTTGTTTCAAGAACCCCCTTGGGTAAGGGCTCTGGAGGGGGCTCCAGGACGCAGTGTCCACTGCACCTCTACAGAGGACCCGGGCTGCATCAGACTTTTTATGTAAGAAGGTGGCTCGGGCCCTTCTCTTTTAAGATCTTACCGTGATTCCTGCCTCGGTTTCCCCCTTTAGGATCCTGGGCAAAGTAATGGGGTTTTAAATCCTTCACCCACGCTGCAAAAGGCAGCCAGGGGCCCTGTTGGTGTGACCTTTTCAGCTCCGTGTGATTTAGGGGCTCGGCCATTTGTCTTCTCCCTTTGTAAATAACAGCCTTCAGAGAGAGGGATGGGGAGCCCTGGTGGCCCTCAGCGCCCACTGGACAGCTGTTAAATGACTAGACGAGGCTCTATGTGGTCGCCACAAGGCTGCAGGGCTGGATCCTGTCCTCCACCTTGGAGCTCTTCTTTCTCGAGAGGGGATTGAGTTCTCCCTTGGGTGGCTGTGGTAGCCGACTTTATGTCACCGTGACCAAAACACCCAATGAGGACAGCTTGGAGAGGTGCAGACTTATTTTGGCTCATGGTTCAGGGGTCTCAGTCCAGGGCCAGCCAGCTCTGAGGCTCTGGGCCTGGGTGAAGCAGAACTTGGAGGCAGGGGTGTGGCAGATGGGTGTGGTGTTGGGGTGTGAGGGGGCGTGGCAGAAGGACTTGGCAGAGGGACTTGGCAGAGGAAGGCTGTCATCTCAATGTAGCTGGGAAGCAGAGAATGAGAGAGAGAGAGATGACACTGAGCCTCCAGAACAGCTCAGTGACCTACCTCCTCTAATTAGGTCCCACCTCCAGGAGTTCATTCAGCTATCAATGGATCAATTCATTCTGGATTATCCACGGAGTAGGTCAGAGCCCTTAGGAGGCACTCATTGGATAAAAGCCCCGCCTTGGAACCTTGCTGTGTTGCAAGGGTCATATTTTATCATCTGAGGCTTTGGGGGGACATTCTGGATCAAAACCTTAACAGTAACCTCTGGTAATATTCAGAGACACTGAATCGCCAAGGAATTGCTTCCATTCATTAAAAACCATCTTATTGAGGTGCCATTAACAAATAAAGAGCCACAGCTGTGTAATGTGTTCTACCTAGTGAGCATGGCAGTCATGAGACCATCATTGCAGTCTTTGCCATGAATCATCCCAGGCTCCCTAAGTTTCCTTCTGCCCTCATTATTATTACTGAGTGATTAGATGCTCTGCATTTTTGGAGAGCCTGGGCTAGAAAGCCAGGGCAGGATAATCACCTCTGTCACATTGGACCACTCCTGGGTGGCCTTCCCAGCACCTGACTGGAGTGGGCTGGACCTGGAGTCTGCAATGGGCTCAGGACCCAGCGGACTTGCTTTAGGAATCCCCCAGCCTCAAGGTGAGGTTCCCCAAGGTAAGGTTGCAGAAGCTTCCACGTAGGAGGAGGCTGTGAACAGAGTGGACCCAATGACTCCGGTTCTCCATTTAGCTTTGCATTCAACACAGTACCGAGAACCTGCCTTTTCCCAGGGTCTACTGGAGTATGTTGTAGATAAAGCTCTACTTGCAAAACTCTCTTAGGAAAGTAGAACAGTAAACAAAGGAAGCTTCAAAGTGGAAAAGGGCTACCCTGCAAAATACCTCTGGGATCACAGAGGGCTTGGCTACCTGAAGGGTTGGGCAGAGTTCCAGAGGAGAAAACTCTGATTATTTATTATCATTAAGATGATAATAAATAAAGCATCCTGCATTTATAATAAACCTTACCTGGGACCCTACCTCAAGAGAAACATCATGAATATATTTCTGGGGCTGCGGTTGTAGCTCAGTACAAAAGCACTTGTATAGCATGTGTGAGGCACTGGGTTCGATTCTCAGCACTGCATACAAATAAATAAAATAAAGTTCCATCTACAAATTAAAATATATTTTAATAAAAAATATATTTCTGTGACTTAGATTATTTATGGTAAGTCTATTTTAAAATATTATTTAGGTGCTTTCATCAGCTCTCAATATGCTTGACATTTAGGTTGTTTCCAGTTTATTTTTTCTCACTGAAAACAATGCCTTAATAAATGTGCCTGTCGCTCCATCTTGCACAAATCCAATTCTGTTTCCTTAGGCGGCACTCTTGCGTCTCTGTCAATGTGTTTTTATTACATTCTATTTGTAACTGCTAGAATTTTAAGGACATAAAGTGATAAATTATCACAATTTTGATATGCCTGTGGGCACACCCCTTGGCTTGACTGAGTACGTTATTGGCACTGTGAAAGTTGCCCTGTGGCCCCTGTTTATTATAAGTAGATATCCTTCATTTCCAAAGGACATTTTAGGATTGATTTTTATGTGTGGAATTAGGCTAAAAGGATAAGTTTGTCTATCAGGCTTTTGAAATAAGCTGCTAAATTTTCCTCCAAATTATTTTTTTGCCTGTTCATCCAGTTTTTTTCCCCCATTGTCTCTATTCTCTCTTTTATTAAAAAATAATTTTATCATCAATTTGATAAATAGCATGTCAAGAGCTTCCAAAATGCATCCCTTTGGTTATCAAGAGATTAAACATTTTTATTTGGCAAAAAGTGGGATGTCTCAATGCCCACCAAATGTGCGTGTATTTTCCCCTAGGGAGCACATCCTTGTGACTCG